AAAAACAACAACAATAACAACAACAACAACTACTATTTTACTTTATTTTCTTTCAATTATTAAACTGTTCTTATCTCAACCCACGAGTTTTCTCACTTGTGCTCTTCCAATTCTCTCCCCCATCCCACTGGGGGGCTGGGAGGGTGAGTGAGCAGTTGCGTGGTGCTTGGTTGCCAACTGGGGTTAAACAATGACACATCTTTATAATGGACAATATACAAATGCATGGGATGAATAAACCTATTCAGAAAATTATAGAAGATGATATAGAACATATTTTAATATTCCACAGTACTATATGCAAGTTAGGGAATCATATCCAAGGTTTAGAGACAAATCTTGATTTCATCACGAAGAAAAACAGTCTTTCTCCACAGGAGGAATAAATGGGATTTGAAATATTCCTAGTCATTGCTCCTCATGAACTCCAGTTTTTACAACTTGTGTTTGATTGGCATATGACCTTCAGCATTCCAGAGTGCAAAACTTCTGTTTCACACACGTGAGCCTGATTTGTTCTTCTGAAATTTAATATAAGAATATCCTGGAGTATTTAATTTAATATTTCTGTGCGAGTTGCATCCACTGTTCAATGAAATTAACCTATCTGCATTTAGAAGCTAGCAAACACCACACACTCTGAAAGGTCTCCTTGAAAACCTCTTGCGAGCTGTCATCATATATCTGGGTCATTAGTAATAAATTCCTTATAAAAAATTATAAGCTGAATTTGATGACCTGTAATATTTCAGAAAAGTAAGCACTTGGAAAAAAAATAAAAACAAATTGTTCTTGGATAAGAAATAATTAGTATAGTGAAAAATGGGCCTGGAAATTCAAAAAATGTGATTTCTAATCCTTTGTTACTTAAAAAATTAGTAACAGAATAGTAAATTTTAGTCACAACAGTGTCAGGGCATATCACCTCATTAACATATTTATTTCTTCCTATTTCAGAGAATGCATCAATTAATCAAAGAAAAAAAAACATTCAAGGCTTTTAATTATCTTCAATATACTTCATCTCTTAGTGTTAACACCGCAATTTTTTGACATTATTGAAGCATTCATTATTTCTTGATACATACTCATTAAAGATTTACTTCTGAATTAAATTTATTAATGAAAAGGAAATTAATGGCATAACCATCTAAATAGAACATTCAGCTGAGTTACCTCAGAATATAATATTGAATAAAGGATGAGGAAAAAGATGCTACGGTGAGTTTAAAAGTTGCAGCTGTATGAAACAACAAAAGAAAATTTATTTTTCTTCCCATTCTAAATTTCAAATTTCTATGGTGACAGAACACTTATTTTTGACAATATGATTCCTTTTGTTTTATTAAACAGCAAGAGCTCAGTTTTCAATTTCAAGTGCAACTATTTTACTTTTTTTTTTCTTTAAAAAGCATGCATATTTATAATTATACCTTCGGTATAATTTTTTTTTACACCAACAAAACCACTGGATTTTGTTCACATACAATGAACTATTTCTGATAAAGATTATTTGAAATATTTTATTCCACAGCACAGTATCTCAGTGGTGTTACTTCAGTCATATCACTGCAGTATATTAAAAATGAAGTGTAACTTTCATGGTGTTGCTTCTGAAAAAATATATAATTCAAAGAATATAATGCCTTGCTACCTCCTTCATAGCTGAAAATGAAGAAAAAAGACTGTCCACAATCCGGGGGGGGGGTCTGCATTCACAGCAATCATGTGGTAATGAAAATGAGAAATTCTTTTCATACAAACAATGTGTAAAATGCTAAACTGTACTCCCTCCCTTCCAGGAAAAAGAGAGCTACTTATGAATTATGGTTTAAAGGAAAGAGATAACATATGGCCTGTAGTTTTATACAAATATACAGATAAACAGAAACACACAGTATGTATAGAGAATTATACATAGCTACATCTTGCCATTTAAAGCATGTAATGCTAAGATTTGTATTTGAAAGTGGGATTATTACTAACATACAAACTTGAAGAAATGGAGACAGCATAGATGTTGAGACAGATGAAAAATATATAAGAAAATACAGCCTTTTTACAGGCTATTCTTACAGCTTGTATCAACAAAAAGAGTCATATTGAGAATTCCAGCAGAGTTTCAGAGTATCCACAGAACTTGTCAAATAATCAATACCTTATTTCAAATAAAGGGAATCATGGAACTATTGATGATCTCACCACCAAAACAGAAGTGTTCAGGTTGTTTTTATGCTTCTACCCACAAAACTGAAAGACAAGAAATTGCCAGCTTATGTTGGAATAAGCCCAAGGACTTAAGCGGGATGTTGCTTATATGTCTTTCAGTGTGAAAAGCTATACAATGAAAGACGAACAAAAATAAGATACACACAGTCTTCAGAGTAGCTTAACTGTTAGACTGTTCAGGCTGGATAGGAACTGAACAACCTCAGTCACATCTGCAGGGATTTATTACATGTGGAAGAGCAGCACGGAAATAGTCTTAAGAGGATCTACCCCAGACTAGATAATAGCTTAGATTTCCTATTTCTCAAGTTATTTAATTCTAGGACCTTATGTTCTTTCTCTTCATAGCATATTTTCCTCAAAACCTCAGATTTATGGAGTTGATATTTTCTAATTCATAAAGATTATTCTTGTATGTAAAAACAAGAAAACTTCTTTATTAGATTTAAGAAGTCCCAATAAAGCCAATGGAAAAAATTTTTACCCTCAACAGAACCATCAGTTTCTGAAACAAACAGAAGCATCAATAGCTTTCTTCACCTAATCACTGTAGCCAGATTGATTTTTCAGAAAGCAGACTATTATGTATGTGTAAGTACCATGACCTTTCAGATTTTATCAACAATATTCTTCATGTAAATTGATCCATCTTATACCACTGGAGCCAGGGACGCAGAACTGCTAAAAGCATTCACTTCCACTTAGTTAGCTGTAAATATAACTTTTATGAAAAAGCAGCTTCTTCAATCATGGTACATGGCTTCTGTATGTCATGTGATGAGATGTAAATGTCTAAGACAATTCAGAACTGCAGATACCTTTACACCTAGCAATCATAAAACCACAAGAGTGTGAATGTAGAGTAACCGATTTAAACTTAATCAGTTCTAGGCCATTAGACTTGGTAAAAGGTATTTCCACTCAACTATACAGGAGCCTGTTACAGTAGTTTCCATTTGAAGGTCAGCAATCACCATAAAAGTTTTTAATCTATGAATTTATCAGAACAACCAACAACCACAAAACAATACTGAAAAACAGAGTATATATAATCAATCTGAAGACAAAAGGAACTTAATATTTTGGTGAATTAGTCTAGACTGGGTTGAACCTCTCCCTGTTCTATTGCTTTGTAGCCTCTTAGCCATGCTCTAATGCTGATACAGTCATTTGATACTAAGTGGGGAACATCAGGGCTCTAAGGACATCCTCCCCTTGCTGAGATTTGGCTGCCTGGGCTCAGGGCCAATTTAGAGAGTGTAGCTGAGGGCATATCCCTACTCCCCTCTTAGAAAGGACCTTAAGTGAAGCTCTTCCAGAAAGCTCTGCTGGAAACCAAAAGCAAAGGCTGCTCCTCCTTGCCTTGGGAGCCTTTATGCTGAGTCTCTCCCATGAGCCTTGCCTGAGCTCCAGCCTCAGATGCATCAGAGTCACTATGGACTTGCCTGATGATCTGGACTTTCAGCTGACCCTGGATACCACCACCAGATCTACTCTGCTCTTCTTCCTCAGGTGCTGTGGGACTGGGTAAGGTCTCTGCCTCTCCTGGCCTTGGTCCCATGCTCAGCTCCTGTCTCCCCTTCCCTTAGGGAATGGGCACATATTGGTGTAGAGGTCAACATTTTGACACTGATACTAAAATTACAGTAGTACAATGTAAGAGGAATTCTGGATTCCAAACACTTATAGCCACAACATAGCTATACAACACCGGCAAAAAAAGCAGTCTCCAAAGACTAATCACCTGCTGAGTCACAAAGACCTCTTGCAAACACTACAACGACAGAAAAATATTTTCTAGACATCTTTCAGAAAGGTTTCTACAACCTTGTTCAGGCAGGTTACACAATAGTGTATTAAATATAGTACACTATTTGGTACTAGAGAAATGAAATCTCCTTCCAACATGGTTACCATCCATTTTTATTACACATTTGGTAATATGAAAATAAATGTCCTTGATAAGATGCATGGCTTGAAGTAAGTAACCAAACAATGTCAACTATCTGAAAGAAGCACAGAAAAACGATGCAAAAAGGAAAGTGAAAGCAAAATAGAATGAATCAGTGAGTAAGAAAATGTGTGTAACACAAGCTGAGAGCTATACAATACAGCAATCACCCCAAATATCCCAATTAGAAACTGGATAAACCAGTACTTATTTTGGTATCTAAGGGTTCCTGCTAAATGACTTCTTGATTGATATTTCTGACTATAGACAAAAAAGGGGAAAGGAAAAATAACAATGAAGATTATTTATTTTCTTTTGCAATTATGTTATGTGACAACACAGATTAAGAATGTCTTGAAATTGTTTTTTTAACATATCCACTTTTCAACTATAAGTAAACAAAGAGACTAGAAATATTAAATATTCTTCACTTACAAAACCAAAAAAGAGTGATTTCTTCCACAATGTTTCTGCATTAAGAAAGGCAGATGTAGGGTACAATATTGTCTTTTAAGGAACCACCTTTATCATCATCAAGTTTTAAATAAAATTCTGGTCAAAGCATCTTAAAAAAAGAAAAAAAAAGCCAACCAAGAAAAAGGATTTTAATTTCAGATAGCAAAATAACTTTGATTATCTTACATCAACTATTATTTCTCTTCCTCACAAATTTTCTGAAACAGAGAAAGACAGAGAGGTCAATATCCCTAAATTGAGAAAAGCAAAGCATACAGGAAGTGATGGGGTCAGACAAGAGGTGTTCAGGTCTATAAATCAATATTTATGCCATTTGGGGACTATCTGGCTCCAATGTACACAAACAGCAAGAGTTGTTTTTAAGCAATCTCTTGACAAAATTACTTTATCTAATAACAAAATAAAAGCTGTTATTTCTGTTATCTGCTCTGGCACAAGCCTTAATTTTTTTATGCAATTCTTAAGTCTTGGGTTTGTTGTTTTTTTTTAAATAAGGAGTCAGGGAAGAAATATATCTGAGAAGCATGGAAATAAAAATGGTAGCATAATGAAAAGACAATCTTCTGTAACTAACAGTTTAACCAGAATTACATGCACTAAATGATTCCAACATTAACTCAAAGGAGCACAAAAGGCAAGTGTCAAACCAAAATCAGACTACTTCAAATTAGATTACTCTTTCCACATACTGGGATAAGTAAACCAAAAATAAAAATAAAAATAAAAAAAATTTAAAAAGGAATAAGAAACGTTATGAGGTGTTACACAGAGACATGTCTTCTACACAAGCTTGGCTAAAAGGATTAGAATATGAGAGGGCAGTTCAGGGAGAACCGAGCCCATGGTCTCCTCAACGAACATCATAACCCAAGATAGCTGTCCTGAAAGCAATGAGGTATGCATAGCACAGCAAGACAAAGCACAAGATATTCCAAGCATCTACTGCTGGCTGTTTAAAGAACTGAAATTTCCAAAGTTGGTAAGAAATATCACAAAATACAGTTCAAATCCATGAATATACATTTTTAAGAGGCATACTGCTGAAGAACAATCCCTTCCTCTTTTTTCCAAGACTGTTAAAAGATGCCCAAAAGTGAAGGCTGAATTCCTGAATTAGCCTCTCGGGGTTTTTTTTATTTTATTTTTCTTAAAAAGAAATTTGTCAACAAGTGAATTTGAAAGTCTCTTACTTCAAAGAAGTCACAAGTCAGAAGTTAATCAGAAGAACTAATTTCAAATATTCAGTAACTGTAAGAAGTGCCTTGCCAAATGAGACAAGCTTTCAGATATTCCACATAGGGCCAAAGATTCTACCTAAGTGAAAAGATTAATCACTGAAACCCAGATTTGACAGGCTGAATTTAAAGGAGTGAAACTTGAACTGAGCGTCAACACACTTTGATGCATACATCCCCCTTTACCAACTGACAACTTAATCATGAGACAAAAAAAAAAAAGGGAAAATTCCTGACCTTCTATGAACAGCAATAATATATAGAACATATTTCAGGAATGAATAAAATAGTGGGGAAAAAAAACAGAATTAGAATCATAGAATCATAGAATCATTTAGGTTGGAAAAGACCTTTAAGATCATTGAATCCAACCATTAACCTAGCACTGCCAAGTCCACCACCAAACCATGTCCCTAAGTGCCACATCTACACGTCTTTTAAATACCTCCAGGGATGGTGACTCAACCACTTCCCTGGGCAGCTGTTCCAATGCTTGATAAACCTTTTGGTGAAGAAATTTTTCCTAATACCCCATCTAAACCTCCCCTGGCACAACTTGAGGCCATTTCCTCTTGTTCTATCATTAAAGAATTAAAGAAGATCTGAATTTTATTTTTGTCACAGATTTTGGAGAATAGTCTGAAAACACATTCAAGTCTGAGACTAGGGCAGAAAAAGGTTAAATCAATTTAATACATATATTCTGGGGTGGAGTCTACTGTATTTATTTCATAAAGGGAACTATATAAAATATTATATCATGATATATTATAACTAGCTGTTTACAAAGAGGAGAAATAGAAAAGATCTTAAAATCTGGCAGTCTTTTTGAAAAGATGTAGTAAGGCAGGCCAAATAGGATATGAGGAACAACTCGCAGAAGTTATAAAAATTATTATTAATCCTTTTTCTAACAAATCAACAGCAAGAAACCTGATGGTCTGCTGAGCATTACACAATCAATATGAAAAATGAAGGAAACAAGAATGCTACTTGAATTTCCTCTATATTCACATAGGAGAAGCATGGAAATAATCCTGTGCCCATATTTTGTATGTGGGCTACATCATATGATCTGTCTCAAATTGAACATTGTCATGAAACAAACAGACAAAATGGGTAGTTTAAAAACCCTGGGAAGAGGTACCAGTCATTAAAGACTTCAGAAGGCCTAGAAAACAGCTAGAATGATAAAAATTTTTAAAATGTTTCAAGAGGGGATCAAAAAAACCCAAGGACCTAATATCTGTAACAGGAAAACTGACATTCTTAATTACAAATAAGATGACAAATATGATATACTGATGAAGAATCAAAACAATTTTTATGCAAGAAAACGTAGGTCTTACGAATCTATTTCAGTTTTCTGAATGAGTCAATAAATTGATTCTGCTGGGTCAGAGGTCTAGGCAGGCCTTCAAAAGGCATTTAACAAAGGCCTTCCACAATGATTCTTACAGAAACTTAGCTGACTTTGAAAAAGAAAAGGCCCTCACATGCTGGAATACCTAGTTATTAAATTAGGAAAAAATAAGAGAGAAGGGACAAGAAGAGAGGAATAAATGACTAGTTTCCATGCCGTAGGAAGATCATATCAGTAGGCACCCAAAGGGAACCATGCTTGGCTTTTGCCACAGAAAAAAAAAAATCAAAATTATTTAGGAAGTTAGGCAAATACAAACAGAAACAAAGATGCTAGGGGATTAAAAATAGTAATGGCCTTCAATACTTAGTGATGAAAAGAGAAAAAATATAAAGTAATGAAAATCAAAACACAGTTCTGATTCTACTGATAGAGGTGCAGCTCTGAGTTTACTATTATCACTAAAAATGTGATCTTACAATTATAAAGGGTACCCTTATTTAAAAATACTAGCTTTTTATTTAAAAAAAGAATATTGTGCAATAGCAGTAAAAAAGTAAACAGACGATTAAGAGTTATTAGGAAAAGAATGTTAAACATAACAGAAAATATAATTATTCAAGTCATATATTAACATGTTCAATAGTGTATTTCTGTTTATTACTGTGTCCAACCCCCCCCACACCCCTTCCAATTATAAGTTTGGAACTGGAAAGTCAGAGAAATAATAATAAGCAATTGATAGTAAGGAATTGCTGGTATATGATACTTCAGTTGGAGCAAAAATAAACCAAAGTGAATTGACATGTAGGATCCTGGGGTGGATGGAGTGAAGGAAGAGGGTACTGAATTAATTTTCAATTCCAATATCATGAATTTGCAGATGTAGATTTAAAGCAAACAACATAAATACTTCACCCAATGTACAGCTAAATTTATAATTTTTCATGGCAGGACGTAGTGAATGTTAATATTTACATGTGTTCAAAAAATAATTGAAAAAATTCACAGAAGAATTATTCAGTAAGTATTAGAGTTGAAAAACACCACTCTCATTCTGGAACTTTCTAAGCCATAAGTTGCTAAGAAGTCATGACAGTGCTCTGGGAAAGTATTTTTGCTCTGCTCTTAGTAAGTCTTCCATACATATCCATTTTTGGTCAATGTTGGAAATGGGATACAGGGTTAGATGAACTTTTGTTCTGATGGTTAGCAAGTACTGTCATGCTACTCTGCCAAAATAAAAAAAGGCAACTGGCATTTTAAAGCAAGCTTCCCCCGTTGGCTGGAAAAAAGGGAGAGAGATGGTGCAATGAAGTTGAGACGTTAAAATTTTCTTTTTTCCCTTAATTTTTCATTTGAGCATTCTAACCTTTGAAAAGCTATGTATAGAAAAATGAAGAAGGGGCAAAAAATCCCCAATATTGGCTTCATAAACTTCATAAGAAAGAAAAGACAAAATAATTTTTTTTCTGAACTGCAAAAACTCTCATTATTATAAATATGTAACTTACTGCTTAATGAAAAGCTTGAGCGGAGACATTGCATTTTGTAAACATCTACAATTGCAAGGATGATAGTCAAATAAGTGTTTGTCTCCCATATGAACTTCAAGATATTCAGCCTGCCACAAATAACCTCCAGTGACTTTTAAATAGAAGACAACACTGAGAAATTCAGTATAAAAAGCAGGAAATATTCTAACCAGTATAAGTAATACTTTTTACATTTCCATGAAAAACTACAGGTTTTGTCACTCTGGTCTCATCACTGAGGTTGAATGACTGAAGAGATCTCCTCCAACTAGAACTTCTATTATTTTATAATTAGAAAATATCCCTTAGTAAACTATCTATGAAAGCTACAGGCCAATACTAAATATGTACCTTTAAGTGAAATCAAAATCTTTCCCTAATTAAGAAAAAATACAATACAGAATAGCTGATTATACACACACATGAGCAAAACCTATAGTTCTTCTGTTTTTATCATTGTTATAAAATGTGTAATCCAAAATTTTTATGCAATCTGAAAATTTTATCACCACAATTTACAGACCCATTCAACAAGTTAGAAAATAGGAGATAAAATATTAAACTTAAATGAAAAAAATTAAGCATACTAGCACTCTTAAAGTTATGCCACTAGTCACACGCAAATGACATTCATTTTTAAATCTGGTCTTT